GAAAAAGCAGCTTTCCAGCTGAAATGAAGCAAGACCAGGATGCAACTTGCAGCTTGGAGGCACCTGTGACCATCTCCCAACTCTAAAGAGCACCTAAACTGAGCATCAGTAACTTCCCACTGCCAGTTATGGGCACAACAGGCCCAGCACTGCAGGTTTTCTAAGCTATACCACAGCAAGACGACTGGGGTGCTGCATGGGCATTTCTGGGTTTTTTGCTCTGCTCTGTTGTAAACTGACAGCAGAGGGACTTTAATACAGCCCTGACCCACTAACTGAAGACCTTCCCCAGCAGTATGGCAGTGAAGCTTGTTGGTAGGAAATGCTTGGCATGACTAGTTTGTTTTTTTTTTTTTTTTGGCATGCCTGTTAGGCAGTAGTAGTGCTCCAGGATACGGGCAGCAGACTCAGGCCTGCAAGCAAAGCTAGCACCTACTTGAGTCCCTGGGTCTCTGTGCTCAGGACCATCTACCTCCATGAGCTCTTGGTCTCACAGAGGGTACGTGGAGGGGTGAAGCCCTACTGACAGCCACTTACTCTGAGCCAAGTTGATTATAGCAAAGGAGAGAAGGCGACCATGTCTGATCCTTGAGCATCACTTCATCACACATATGGGGAGTTGTTACCTGACAAGATACTAAAGCATCTAAAGCTTTTCTGCAGGTCTGGTTAAAACAGCTCCTGCCGTGGTAAGTGGTACCCACCTTGCAGTGATGAAGTGCTCAGGTATCAGAATTGGTAAGCTCAAACAGTGGCTGGACCCTGTTTTTATGGCTTTTTTTCCACAGGAGCGCTTTGCAATGATCAAGGAATCAAGCTGTCCACCACCGTTAGGAAGCAGGTAACAAGAAGTCCCCCTTTACACAGATTAGGTAGAAATCATCAAGTTTGTACCAGAGGAACAGCGTAAATGTAATCCCCCTGCACTGTCAATAATGTCAGTGAGAGGCACTTGTGCAGTGCAGAGGAAGGTGTTCCAGGGCCTCGTAGATGACCCTGGCCCTGCCCCACGCCCTGGTGCTGAGCACCGTCAGGGTGCGTTGTCACAGGACGACGGGGCTTATATCTCCCCTGGGGCCTTGCTGTCTGACTAAGCGCCAGGGCTGCGCCATGGGGTAGAGATACCACATCACCACTCCTGAGGGGTTAATCACGACTGTGAAGTTGTCTCCTGTCTTTAAGCCGCTGATGATCTTCCCACTGTACACGTCTTGGACCTGCAAGAAAGAGACGGTCATTACCAGGATGTCCACAAATTCTCTGTCCTGAGGTGCTGCCAGTCCAGCCAGGGTTGGTGACAATCCCAGCCCGCTGTTATGCTTGCAGTTGGCCTGAGTTGGCCAAACCACACCTAAGTACATGGCCTTAACCGCAGGCTCTGCCTCGAAACTTGACCAGACCCTGCAGGCTCCCTCCTCAGTGGTCGCTGTTGTACAAGGGCTTGCAGGGACTGGGTGAGAGTTGAGAGAAAAGAGGAGGGAAATCAGCTGTCCCTTCTGCGTCCCAGGCAGTGCAGACCCCCGAGACTTCATGGCGTGTCCCTTCGAAGAGGAAGATGTCATGGGAAGCAGGAAACATTCACCTGCCAGAGCACAGCAAAAGGGTGTTTGGCCTCAGAGCCCTACAGAGCAGCTGGTGGCACATGGCTCAGGGCAGGGGAGCAGGCCTCCCCATTGACCTGGAGGCAGCCAGCAGGAGGGCAAAACTCCCCTCTTTCCCAACCCCAAATGCACAGGGTGGCAACAGGAGGGAGCTGGGGAAGGGGGGGGGGGGGGGGGGGGGTACGGGGGGCCTGGTGGGGCTCACCTCATACGTGGTGCTGTCTGGGAAGTCGAGCTTGGCCAGGCTGGTGGTGTAGCGGAATGGCATGTCTGTCCTCCGGCTGAAGAAGACGAGAGCGCTGGCAGAGTGCAATAGTGGGCGCAGGAACACCTCGATGTGGAATTTCTCCTGGGATGGGAACAGGCCGGTGAGGTGGAGCCGCTAGAACCAGCTCCGGCCCTCCCTCTTGCAGGGACAGAGCAGGGGGAAAGGGCCGCATGGTGTCCCAAATGCTGCAGGCTCTTAGGGTACCTCATCACTTTGCCTGCTGGGAAGCAAGGAGCAGCTCTGAGCAGGAGGTGCCCACCAACTCAAGGTGAACAGGATGGCAGGAGGCAAGTGCCAGCTGAGATATTTCTCACTGGACTCTGCCTAACCTGTGTCTGCTCTCGTGGGCATGAGACCATCTGGGCCTGCAGTGGGCTCCAGGAAAGAGCCTTGCAGGGGAAAGAGGAGCCAAACCAGCAAGTTCTGGGATGCGCACACACAAATGCTGGTCTATAAGTTCTAACCTTGCCTGAATGGGTTGCTAAGTTAGCAGGTCCCTGTCCCCACAGGTCTCCTGCTCCTGCTTCTCTACATACCCTCCCTCTCTCTCATTACTGTGTTCCCCCTGTGCTGCTCCTGTTTTCTCTCCTCTCTCCCAAATGCATATGCCTTCTCCCTAACCTTGACAATCCTACGTCCCTGGATTCCCAGGGGATCCTGGTTGATCTGGATCATCAGCCGGTTCTGCAGGATCTCCTTGGCGCTTGAGGAGATGGTGCGAAGGTCAGTGGACATGAGGAGTGGAGCTGCCATCACTGTCCACAAGGCCATTTGGGAGCGTGACTGCTCGTAGCTAAGGCCAAAGTTTCCAATGATGAGCTGGAAAGGAGAGGGGACAAAGCAAGTGGAAGCAGAAAAGAATTAGAAACTTGTCTGCATGTCTAACTGGGTGATGCTGCAGCCTGCTAGGTGGGGAGTAAGCACCTCACATGCCTTTCACTTCCCTTCGAGGAGCCTAACACTGCTGGAAGGTCCCATTTCTACTAGGTGCTAAATAATCAGCACATATTGAAGAGCACCCACTAATACCCTTAGCTTCACCACTATACCTCCCCCAGGCTGTGCCGGTGTACAGGGAAGGACAAGGACACCAGGGCAACAGGACAGGTTCACGCAAGGGGTGGAGGGTTCATTGCAATATAGGCTTTTCCATCAGCCTAGCCAGGGCAACATGGGCTTTTCCTTTTCTGCCTGAAGCAACGTGGATCCTACTCAAGCACTCTTCCTTTGCTTTGTATCTAGAAGGGGATCCCTGGAGATCCCCCACCCCTGGCTTGGGTCCTTGCACATACCACCCAGCCGCACCATGTCTGGGTCATTCCAGTGGCCAGGGCCAGCAGCTGGCTGCAGCACATCCTGGTGTGCGGAGAACCAGTCCACGATGGAAAGCACACTGTCCCAGGAGTCCTGAATGTCACCATAGTTACGCCAGAGGTTGCAGATCTCTGCCAGGAGGGTGTAGTTCACCTGGAGAGGAGTAAAGGAGTCAGGCAGGAGGGAGAGAGGATGGAGCCTGCAAAAAAAGTGTTTGCAAGCCAGAGGGATCTGGGGAAGGACAACACTGCATAATTACAGATTATGTACGTAATCACATCCCAATATGACTAAGCATATCCCAATATGACACGATATCTGGCAAAACAGCTACAGAGGCTATGAGGGAATAAGACCAGTTGCAAGAAGGGAGCAAGGGCAGCTTGGGGTTGATTCAGAAGGTGGAAGGGGGAAAAATACGTGCTCAGGTCACAAGAAATGTTACTAGGAATATTGTCTACTGGGAAGGAGTAGAAGCTCCATTTTAAGCATTTAAACTAGACAGGACAACACTGGGGAGAACAGGCTGTCAGGATCAAGCCCACATGAGCTGAAAGGGAGTGGATAAAGCATGTCTCATGGTCTTTGTTCTTCAAATTCCCACGGCCTAGTCATGCTGGGAACCCCAGTTTTCCATGGGAAGCTAATTCCTGGCAGGGAGGTCATTTCCCCTCCTGGGACCTGCAGACCCATCCTATCAAGAGCAGAGAAATAAGAGAGAAGTGTAGCACATGAGCTCCTGCAGCTCATAGTGAGAGCTCCCCAGGGCACAGGGGACATGGGAAAACCCACCAGACTCAGCACACGTCGGGATAACCCTCACCTTCGGGGGGAGCCCACCCTGATATGCCGGCCAGCTGCAGGAGTAGACTATGGGACGGCCTGTCGCGTTCAAGGCCTTCGCCATCTTCGGGTAGCCTTAGGGAGAGTAGAAATTGACTGGTGAACTTGCATTATACCATCTCTGGGGCTCCTCTTTGCCCAAGAGCTGCCCTGGTAACCCTTTTGCCCTGCCGCTAGAGTGCACCCAGCCCCCAGGAAGGCCACGGCAGCCCTGCTGGAATGACAGCCCTCAGAAAGCTACCCATGGGCTCACCCAGGGAAAAGATTTAACCCTGGGAGACAGATGAAAGCTGCCTTCTTTCAGGATCAAACACTTACTGCTCCGATCCTGGGGCGGAAATACCACCCTCTGAGCTCACCTCGGGTCTGCCTACGTGACTTCTGCAGGAAAGGGACCGGCAAGGATGGCTCCCTCCTCCTCCAGTCCCACCCTGGGCCCTACTTCACGTGCAGATAAGCCTCATCTCCAAAAGCCCTGCCACCCCTCTGAGAGGCATCTTTTTTTGGAAACACTTCCCAAACCCCAGCCCATCAGGGGTGTGAAGACCCACGAGAGGAGACATGAAGAAAGAACCAAAGCCGGCCAAGCATTTCCAAGGACAGAAGATGGACGGCCACTCCCAACCAAAGCAGCTACGAGAGAAACGCCAGCCAGCCAGCGAGCCTCAGCCTTTACCCTCCGCCTGTTCTTCCCCCGATGAGTAGCACCCATCCAGCTTCAGCATGTCCACACCCCACTGCGCAAAGGTCTGGGCGTCCTGCTCCACGCGGTCCACTGTGGTGCCTGGGTAGCCCCCACAGGTGAGGGTGCCCAGGTCTCCATAAATGCCCAGCTTCAGGCCCCGGGAATGGACCTGTCAGGAGAGGAGAGCTACAAGGAGGGGACAGAGGGGATCCAAGGTGCTTCCCAGGGAAGTGAGCTCCTCTACCCCGTGCCAGCCCTCCTGTCTCAATAGCTCCAGCCAAGGTGATGCATAGAGACAGCAACGCCCCTGCCATCTCCATCCTACCTCTGGATCCAGCCTCTCCCACATGCACTTACATAGTCAGCCAAGGCCTTAATCCCTCGAGGAAACCTCTTGGGATCAGGAACCAGCTGTCCTGCTGCATCCCTCTGCTTTGCTGACCAGCAGTCGTCAATGTTGATATAGTTGTAGCCCAGCTCCCTCCAGCCGTCCTCTGCCAGGCGGTCTGCCATGTCAAAGAAGAGCTTCTCACTGTGGGGAGGGGCAAGACTCAGATGTGGTGAGGGAGCACAACACTGTCAGGCCATAGTACTTAGCCCTTGCTACCTCTTTACCTCACCTACTGCTGCTGGCCAACAGGATTTATAGACTAGCTAGGGCTCTGGAGGGTCCACAACCCCCTGCCACCTCAATGCAAGCCTGGGTGATATGGGAGGGTCTCCAGGACTCATGTGCGGCCCTTTCGTTGCCTGGCAGATCTCACCGGGAGGAAATGTTTCCCTGACACCTTGCAAGGCCCAGCCATATCTTTCAGCCTTGGGTACTTCAGCCCCTCATCTCACACATACCAGTTCTCCCAGTGTCTTCACAAGGCACCATTATCCCACTGCTACAGGATTTGCCCCAGGTCGCACAGACTGTGCCAAAGCAGTCCCAGCCCAGCTGCCCCACCACCTTATTCATCCCATCCACCCTCCCTTCATCTTCCCCGCC